CTCTAGGTTTTGCTTTTAAAAAAAAAAAAAAGGCTGACAAAGATGATCACCTTCAGAAAAACCTGTTTATTCTGCGTTTTCGTCGACAGGCCTGGGCAGTCGTTCCTGATTTTACACATCACGCCCACTCTGCCTCGTTGTCGGTGGTCGCAGTGAACAGCAGATACGTGGTCACGGGGAGCAGGGATGAGACCATCCAAATCTATGACATGAAAAAGAGGGTAGAACACGGGGCGCTGCTGCAGCACAATGGTAGGGGGGCTTTTCTTCACAGAACATCATTAGTGATAGAAATTTAGAGCTGAAAAACTAGCCCTTACCAGAAGAAGAAAAATGTTGTGTTTTTTTTTTTTAATAAGTCTTTATTAGTGATGCTGTTGCAGCCACGTTGGCCTAACGATACAAGGAAGGGAAGCTTTTGAGCATAAACATCAAAAAATCCATTTGGGTATTAGCCCACAAATATAGCTGCTTTTTCAATTCATGTTTAAGCTTAACTGTTCAAGAAGTTACAGCTCACAAGTGGCTCGTGAGCCATTTTAGTTTTACTGGGCAGTTTATCTAGACTGTGCCTACTCTGCAGAACCATCTTTCCCCCATGTCCTTTTCCTGTCACAAATGTACATGAGCCATGCATAATGTCTGTCTGTGTGAGAGCAGGCTGCTCTGTTTGGGTCGTTTGTAGCTTAATCCTGATTGTCCATTTTCTCCTGTTAACCAAGAAGTACACGGAGCTAGACTGAATGTGGTACCTGTGTTCAACTCACATGGTGTGTAAGTGGTGCTCATGGGAAGCAGCAATAAATTCGCCTGCGTGTCAAGAGCTGAGCTTTGACATAGGAGCATTCCGTAGCAATGACAGAAGCTCTGTGTTACCTGCAGCACAGTGATTAAGTACTGCTGTTTCAGGAGCAGACCAGATGGGGTTCAGGCGTGTATGGCTGGCTCTAGGAGGGCTGGCAAAGCACTTGAGTGATTGAACAGAACAAAAAGATTGCCAGGGTGGGGCTTGTGAAGAAATACTTCGGAAGTAATTCAGATTTGCCCAAGGGAAGGGTAGTAGCTGGCATGTTTTGATGCCAGAAGCTTCTCTGCTAATTAATACATTCTCTGTGTTCAGTGTGTAAAACTTTGTTAATAGCTCTTCTTTGGATTTTTAGGCACAATAACTTGTTTGGAGTTCTATGGTACTGCGCATCTACTGAGTGGGGCTGAAGATGGACTAATTTGTATCTGGAACACAAAGAGATGGGAATGCCTGAAATCCATTAGGGCTCATAAGTGAGTTTCTTAAACCTGTATATGCACATGAGTTTTCATATTCATTTTCCTTGTAAATAATACATGTGGCTAATACATTTGTGTG